AAAAATATTTTTAGTGTTTTACTTATAAAAGTAAATAAAATGAAAATAAAATAAAATAAGAATGTTTTTAGTCTAATCATTTAAGAAAATATATTTTGGTATTTTGATAAAAACAAATAAGTAAAGAAAAATATACAAAATATAAAATAAATGAGAAGTTAAGCCTGGTGTTTAGAGAATAAAAAGCGGTGTAAAGTAATCAGTTTTGGTTAGGCCCAAAACAATTTTCTTTTTTAATCAGAAAAAATAAGATAAAAAAAATAACGGGCTTGTTAGTGTAACAAGTTAAGGGGGTGAGAAATAATAAAAATGAAAGAGACCCAAGGTTGGAGGCCCAGGTGCGCTTGGAAACAAAAACAGAACACAATAAAATGTGAAAAATGAAAAAGGATATCGCTGGGGCTCGAACCCAGGTCCCTACATACCAATGCCTTAGCGCGCGCTTCTCTGCCACTGGGGTGGCTATTTCATCAGGTAATAATACAACTTGCACTAAATTTAAAATAAACTCAGTTATGACTGCACTTCATCTTCTTCCTCGCGCCACCATTTTTGAATCTCTGAACTTGCTCGTTTCTCAACCATTTGCAAAAATGTAAAAATGAAAGTTGCTCCAAATTTTGTCACGATTTCAAATATGTAAATAACTTGAACTAACCTCAAAGATGAGCACGAATTTTGCTTGGTAGCAAATTCTGACCTAATTTTTCTGTAACTTCAAACTCAAAATTCGCATCACTCATGCAATATAAATGAAATGTAACCACATGGTTAGCTTCAGGGCAATGACGTCTACATTTTATCTTTACAAAGTAACTATTAATGATGCTTGTATGATAAGTTCAAAGTTGAAAAAACTTACCTCAAAACTGGAAATCATGTTTTGAGTTTGAGCACTCATGGATGTGTTTTGATAATCTGAGTAGCTTCAGTGGACTCCTACGAAGCTAATGCAAAGCTTACTTTATGCTGAGAGTGCTTGAATCTTTCTGAAAAAGTCAATGTGCAGAACTCTGTTTTTGGAAATGGAGGATGGTGATGGAGGTGTTACAGTTGTGTAACAGGGTCATGAATCACTTCTATATAGTGTATGGATGATGTTTTAAGGATTAAAAGTGAAAATGAATGAGTGAAATATGATTTTGGAATTCAAAGTCAAAAATGGCAAGTTATGGAGCTCTTGGTGTAATCTCTGAACTTGCTCGTTTCTCAACCATTTGCAAAAATGTAAAAATGAAAGTTGCTCCAAATTTTGTCACGATTTCAAATATGTAAATAACTTGAACTAACCTCAAAGATGAGCACGAATTTTGCTTGGTACCAAATTCTGACCTAATTTTTCTGTAACTTCAAACTCAAAATTCGCATCACTCATGCAATATAAATGAAATGTAAGCACATGGTTAGCTTCAGGGCAATGACGTCTACATTTTATCTTTACAAAGTAACTATTAATGATGCTTGTATGATAAGTTCAAAGTTGAAAAAACTTACCTCAAAACTGGAAATCATGTTTTGAGTTTGAGCACTCATGGATGTGTTTTGATAATCTGAGTAGCTTCAGTGGACTCCTACGAAGCTAATGCAAAGCTTACTTTATGCTGAGAGTGCTTGAATCTTTCTGAAAAAGTCAATGTGCAGAACTCTGTTTTTGGAAATGGAGGATGGTGATGGAGGTGTTACAGTTGTGTAACAGGGTCATGAATCACTTCTATATAGTGTATGGATGATGTTTTAAGGATTAAAAGTGAAAATGCATGAGTGAAATATGATTTTGGAATTCAAAGTCAAAAATGGCAAGTTATGGAGCTCTTGGTGTAATTTCTGGTTTGAGGGAGTTTAAAGGCTTGTGAATTCGTGTTTGGCTTGCAAAATAGTGCCTCTATTTATAGGCAAGAGGTTTGAGGGCTTGAAGTGATCAGATTCACAAGATCACATGTTATGATTTTTGACTTGTTTTTGAAGCAATCTTGACAACCATTATCCCAAGGTGAAGTATAAAGCAATCTAGAGTAGTTAGAGGCTTTAAACATGCTTATCTGACCGTGTATGTTGAGTGTGTTCAAAACAAACAAGTTAAAGGCTCAAGACAAGTTGACTTTGTGATTAAAGCAACTTTACAAGAATGACAATGTTACTTTGTGCCAAAAATGGATGAATCTCTTGGACAATGGATCAAATGCTTGGATCATAGCTCTAAAAATTGTGTAAACAATTAATTATGGAGTGATTTAAAAGTTATAAACCTGCAAAGCAAGACTTATGCAACATGTCTTGAGATTTGATCAAGTGTTTATCATCAAAATGACCTATAATTCAAGAATGAAAGCTCAACTTCTTCTCTTTGATTCTCCTAGCTCAAGCATGATCTCTTCAAGTTCTTGGACATTTTGGAAATCTTAAAACATTGTCTACAACCTTCATGTTGACTATTTTGGGTAAATCAAATTGGAGCTAGGTGAAAAATTGCCAAGAAGTTGGGACAAAAAATCTGCCTAACTTGCCAAAGTTTTCACTAAGTGTTTTATGAAAAATGTCATGACTTCAAGGACTCATATCTTCAAATATAAGCATTTTTTTAGACATCAACCCTCTAATACAAAGTTGTAGAATTCATCAAGATCTACAACTTTCACGTTGAAAGTTTTCCTTGAATTATCTTGCATTTTGGTGAAAAATTATCATGAAGCATTGAAATTATCAAGGTTAAAAATACTTAGAAATTTTCTAAGTATGAAATTTTTTGACTTTTTGTGGGCTTTCTTGACTTTCTTGATTCTTGATGACCAAGTTTGATATTTCAATGTTGATCAAAAAGTCAAAGTTTGACTTTTTGTGTATCAGTTGACTTTTCATCAATTGATCCAAAATTCAACTATCAATCCATTGATCTTGAGAAATGATTTAAGCCATGAATTTAGGTCAACATGTTGTTTTTGAATCCTTTAAATCATGCTTCAAGCCATTGGATCATGTATTAGGTCAAAAGTCAATGATCAGTCCATCTCAGTCAAAACCCTAATTTTGACCATTTTGCCCGCTTGATGATTTGAATGCTTTTCTTGAGGAATTTTGATCAACACTTGATCAATTGATAAGTATTACTTAAAAATGTTGAAGCTAGCCAAAAATCATGAAGTTTGAGTGTATGTTGACCATAGTTAACTTTTTACCCAATACAACTGATTTTCAGTCATCTGAGCAGTTGATTGAGCAAATTTGTGATGCAAGACTTGAAACTTGGTATGAGCAATCTTGAAGACCTATAATGAACTATGAAAGTATTTTGAGGCATCAAAAGTCCAATTGTCCTTGAGAAAATCAAAATCCTAATTTAGAGGCTCAGTGCTTAAGAGGTGAGCTTATATGATCAAACCCTTGAGAATCCCTGAGCATTTGAGATCTTTGGTGAGAAATTTCTTGAGAAAAGAGAGGGCAAATTTTGGGGTACATTAGTAACCCACACTTGTTGCCTCAGATAAAAACAGTCATGTCCCTCGAACGTGAGATGTTTTAGCTAAGACCCTCGAATTAAAAGATCGTAGTCCCTCGATGACCCTTCAATGTTGCCTTCGGTAAATGATCTTAGTCCCTTACGAAAATTGCTAAAATATCTTACAAGTTTCCTTCTATGATTGTACGATGATCCAAGCCTGTCCCTCACATATAATGATATGGCTCCTTATCAACCAATGGTAAAATAACACTATCTAAAGGAGGAGGAAAATAATATAGACTTTTTGAGTAGGTACATTGCTCGTAATTTCTTGCTCACAAACTAAAACCATTTCACACCTCACACTTTCAAAAACAAACATATTTTCAAACAATCTCTTTTCAGACAAATATTTTTAAAACAATCATTTTGTATACATTCTCAACGATACGAGAATCATTGCAAAATTATCGCACTAAGACGTTTTTTCAAAATATTTCCAAACAAACATTTTGTATACATTCTCAAAGATACGAGAATCATTACAAAATTGTCATTTTTAAAACATCTTCAAAAACATACACAAATACAAAGCATTTCAAAGTGAGCTAGAAATTAAGAGCCCGTAGGTAACTACGGATGAAAAGGATGCTAACACCTCCCCTTTTTATAACCTACCCCCCGAACTCAAGAAAATATCTCAAAATGTCTTTCCTGTTCTTTTCACCCTTTCATTTATTGGATAAAAGAAAAGTCGATGACGACTCTTGCTATCTGCAACATTTGCGATAAAATACAAAACACCCAAGTTAGTTCTTCCAACATATCACAACCATGACTAAAAAGTTGACAATATACATATGCTCATATAAACAAGATATAGTTTCATATGCATCATATTAATGTTTGTCCACTAGAATTAATTGTACTAGTTCCGCCTGCTGCAAATATTCTCTTCCAAAATAACCAATGGAGTTTTACATAACAAAAATACTCTTTAGTTGTTAAGTAATGATTAACATTGAATTTGGTAAGGAGAACTATAATTTAATTTCCCACTACTAGGATCAAGAAGATGCTGAAATCACTTGATGTCCGAACTAATCCTTAAATTAGATTAATCGATCCAATAGGCCACGGTGAAAACTAAAAAAATCACTCTTTAGTTATAGTTATTGTTTGCCATTAACATCCTCAATTATTAACCTATGATTCAACACAAAAAGTGCTCTGATTCGAGACACCCATACTTTTGCACTTGCTGGTTCCATGCAAATTGTTGTGAGCCCACCATGTTTTACCCATTGAATGAAAATTTCACTGTATCATTGCAGTACGAGATTCTTTTTCCATACAACATATCCATTCAAAACGACAAACATAGATTCTTCACTTCCATACAATCTTGTTCAATCCCAAAAAAGCTTTTCATCTTTTGACCAAACGATTTTGTAAATTAAATTACTATTAATATTCTCTAGTCTACCATAAACTCAAAATATCTTTAACAAAAAAGTAGTGAACAAAAAACAAAGGTTTAATTCCATGAAGCACTCTCAAACTCATGAAGAAAAACTCATCATCATCGTCTCCTAGAAGTTTTACAGTTTCATGTTGGGGTTATCTCAAGTTGAAGCTTCCTTGGACGAAGAGAAAAAGCACTTGCAACAAATCAGTTGGTGGTTTTGGCTATGATCCTTTAAGCTACGCTCAGAACTTTGATGAAGGTTTTAAGGAGGACGACGAAGAATCTTCGTTTCATAGATTCTCTGCTAGATATGCAGCACCTTCATGTTCAATTAAATCGATCAAGTAAACATGATTAAGGTATGGTAAATTGGCAATAGTACCATCTCATAATGAGAAGAGTCTAGTGTATTATTATTACAAGTGGATTATTAGAATTGAATATTTAAGTAATGCAATTTTGATTTTTTTTTAGTGTAATATTTTGATCTTTATTCTTGCAAAATATTAGTGTTTCTGGAGCTATAAACTTGTGTTGATTTGTGGATCAATAAATGGTGAATTTGTACATTTATTTTTTAATTTTAGTCAATTTTCAAAAAAAAAGTTTTTCCTACAATAATAAACATGAATTTTTGTAAAGTATATACAGTTTCTATCATTAAGTCATACTTCAATAACCCTTAAATATATATAATTAAGTATTTATTTAATATTGCATTAATTAAAAACCTCAAAAATTCGTTGATAAGGGATGAGAAAAAACAGTGTTGACCTAAGTTTTCCGCTATGGATTCCTCTCAAATTCACATTCTATTTTCTGAAACATTCAAATCTCCTTCTATAATCAATAACCCGAAGATTATGAGAAAGCTCAACAAGTCTTTCGTCAAAGCCCTAGGAAATGTCTGCAACATCCTAGTTAGCCAACTACCTACCCATTGCGTCAAATGAGATAGACTTTCTATTTTGATTCCATAATAAGAATACATAATTGGTTTTGAATCTTGTAAGCATAACCTTCATGGAAGAATTATGGCCGAAAGGTTCTTCCCCCTTAACGATGGTTCAGTTGCGCACCAAGTTGGAGGTGCTGTAGAGCTCTATTTTAAAGTGGGGCATCACCTCCCTAAGTAAGGGTTTTTTTTAGTTCACTTTCTCTAACCTAGAAGATGTTAGGAGGGTCTGTTCCATGCCCTCTCGGAATCTTAGCCCAGGTATTCTAAAGTTGTTCCCTTGGACGAGAAATCTCATTCCTAACAATGTTAACTACACCTCAGCCCTTGTGTAGGTTAGAATTCAGGGTCTCTCTCAAGAGTATTGGCGTCCCAAAATTATTTTTGCCACCACGAGTAGTCTAAGAACCTCCATTTGTATTGATTCGACCTCTAATAGACCTCCTATGGGTATACTTTTCATCCATTATATTCATGTTCTAGTGGATATCGAATTGTTGAATGATCCGAGAGACAAAATTCTTGTCGAAAGAATAGTGTATACCTTCTTCGTTGACATAGAATACAAGAAAATTCCCGACTTGTGTCATTACTACAAAGCCTTGGGTCATTCTGACGTTAATTGTAGAAGGAAATCCTAAATGGTGGATAAAGAGAATGGTAGAAGCATTATTAAATTGAAATCTAAAGTTGATTACAAACAAAAAGAAAAAGAGCATACATTTGAAGAAGAGATCCAAGATAGAGGAAAACAAAAACAGTCTTTTGGATTGAATTCAAGTGGAGTTAATAAAGACTTGGCTGACAAGAATAATAATATTGCTATCATTATTCTAGAAGTGACCCCTTATGACAAGGACTCTCCTTTGGATAGTTTCAAATTAGGGGATATTGAGGGTGAATCAAGCTCTAAAAACTCAGAGTTTGTCAATGCTACTTAGCTCTTCAACATTTAGGATACAACTGATCTTTCTAAGGATAAGAATACAGAATTACTCAAGGATTCTTGGGCTAACATAGCTGATGGTAAATATGATTCTATTGAAGAAAGTTTATTAGAAAATGATATTGATCATTTCTAGCTTGGTGTCTCTAAATCTCAAGTAAAGAAGAAAAGAAAGAAAGGAAAACCAAAGGAAGCTTATTTATCCAGATCCAAATCTGGTCCTCATAAGCCTTCCTCGTGAAGTGTCTTTTCTGGAACCTCATGGGTATTTCCAACACCTATACCCAATTGACCCTAAAAAAATTCTCAAAAAATACCAACATGATCTTTGCTTGTTAGTTGAACCTTGGATGAATCTTCAGAGCTTCCTCGTAGCCTTCTAGGATAGGCTTGACCTGAGGATCTTTTCTGTCAATAACATGTCCTTTTTGGCACCTAATCTTTAGTGCATTTGTAAAAAATCTTTGACCCCTCTAGTGCATACCCTCACTGACCAGTTTGTCTCTTTGTCCCTTACCTTTGAGAACTCAATGGTAAGTATTGTAGTTGTTTATGCATCCATTTGTTATTTTAACACAAGGAGGGTTTGGAGTGACCTCTCTAATTCCATTTCTTCTAATACTCCCTGATGTTCGGTTGGTGATTATAACTTTGTCTCTGGTGCTCATGAGTATAGAGGTATTATAAATCCTTGGAGACTCTTGAAATTCTGGAACTTTACAAAACAAATGTCAAATACAATGTTAAGACATCACAGACCAAACAGTTAACAAAATAAGGAATAATGCCGGAAGTAAGTAACACAAATCAATTATTAACCCAAGTCAGTGCAACGTCACCTACATTTGGGGGCATCCAAGTCATGAAGTAAATCCACTATAAAAGTATTAGTTTGAACTTCTAAACAACCTCTGGTTTATAAAGTACTCACCTAATCACTATACATACTGAAAATATGCTTTTTCATCGTAGTTATCTACGGGCTCTTAATCGCTTAGCTCACATTGAAAATATGCTTTTTGTGTGTATGTTTGAAAAATATTTTGAAAATGTCAATTGTAAGGCAAGACTTTGTAATGATTCTCGTATTTGTTCTTGAGAATGCTTACAAAGTGTTTGCCTTAAAATATTTTTTAAAGTGTGATTGTGAAAGATGTTTTGTTTTGAAATTTTTGTGAGCAAGCAATTACGAGTGTTCTACCTACTCAAAGTCTTTCTTGTAATTTTCATCCTCCTTTAGATAGTGCTATCCTACCATTAGTTAGTAGGAAGCCCTATCATTGGATATGAAGGGACAGACGCGGGTCATCATTCAGTCATAGAAGGCAACTTGTAAGGATGCTTTAACAATTTATTGTTAAGGTACTAGATCATTTACCAAAGGCAATATCAAAAGGTTCATCAAGGGACTACAATACTTGATTTTGAGGGACAATGCTAAAGCGTCCCCACGTTCGAGGGACATGATTATTTTTATCGAAAGGCGTCAAGGGAGGTTACCCTAGAGGTGCGTGTGTGTGAAGTATTTATTTTCAGTTATGCTTATCTTTGAAATTAGGGTTAGCTATCGTTTTATTTTATCTTGCTATACATGACCTAATTACTACAGTAACAGTAAAAATAATAAAGCAATAAAGTACGAAAAGTAAAAGCAGAAAGGAAAAACCCTAGACTATTACATGACTTTGGGAGAAGTACAAGATAAAAAGATGCGGAAAAGTAAAACCCTAATTACTATTACAAACTGTGAGCAGTTACAATAATCGTAAAACACACGAGAAAAGAAAACTATTCTAATTGTAAAACTAAGAAAAAGGAAAAGGATATTGTTTTTGGTGATTTTTTGATAAAAAGTTTTAATGATGATTATCCCTAAAAAAAGATAAATTGATTTTAATTAATTAAAAAAATTTATTAATTAAATTAAAAACTAAAATCTAAATTGATTAATTAAATAAAAACCTAAAATATAATTAGGGTTTTTTAAATGAAAAGGTTTTGGTTTGGTGAATTTAGGGTTTGTAAGTGTAAATATAAAGAAAACAAGGTTTTAAAAAATATTTACCAGGGCTGGGTGTTGAAACCACGCCCTCTACACTTTCAGCCAACACTTTCACCACCAGGCCAGGCGCGCGCCTGTGTGAGGAAAGGAGAACCAGCGCATTTTGTATACAATCCTGCAAAAAATCAGAAATTATGGAAAAAATTGCAAAAGGCAGGGATTGAACCCACGCCTTGATAGGGTAATTCCTTAGCGCGTGTGTTTTAACCACTGGGGTGGTGATACATCCGTTTATTAAACTAAAACAATTAAAACAAATATTAAACAAACGCATAGACCGGAGAGACGCCGGAGCCCTAGCTCCGGTCGTCTTCTCTGGTAGCTCCCTTTCATTCAACCTGTGAAACAAAAGATATTAGCAAACTAGGGGGACCCTACCCCCCTAAATGAAGGCTTGCAGATTCACTGGAGTCATTATTTTAGACTGAAACACAGTGGTTTGTGAGGTATGATCAAGGCAGCCCGGATCGGTGCAAATATGGCAAATCATGATTCTGATAGCATGAACGTCACGCGATTAACTTTTCCTGCATATAGAGACCTCATGAACACACTAGTATGGTTAGTTTATCTTAAAACTCAATATAAATCAAGAATAAAAAAATCATGCAATGGTGGAATCATGATGTATGTTTAAGTGTTTTTGGCCGTTTAGATTGTTGCAAACGATCTCATCTTACCCTCTGATCTTCCTGGGAATGAATAAGATGGTTAGTATGTATTGAAAACGACTGCAAATAAGTTTTGCAAGTTTCCCTAGATTTGGAAATTTTGTGAATTTTTTGGAGGTTTCTTGGACAAGGTTTTTGGTTGCTTGTTTGTATGAATAATGGAGAATATATAGCTTGCATTTTAGGTCAAATAATATGGGCTTGGACTTGTGTAGTAAGGCTTGTCTTATTTTCTTATTTATTATGAATTAATAATGAATAAAATAAAAATAATTAAAATAAAAAGATCAAGGGGTTCATGAGCAAGATGTGAGGTGTATATGAAGTTTAGAACACGCTTGAACTCTGAAACAATAGCCCATTAGCCCAAAAAATAAAGTTTTCTCAATTTGAACTTCATGCATTTGTTCAAAATTTCCCAACTTGCACTGGTCAAAACTCCCTCAATTTTCATTATTTGAAGGTGGTGTCTGACTTTTTGAAAAGCTCCAGATGTCTTCTACAATCTCTATGTTGACCATTTTTTTTCATTTGAAGATTTTATCTTGAGTTGATTTTCCTGAACAAAAAGTGTCTTTTTGTTGACTTTTGAAATGACCTATAATGTATTGGCTCATATCTCTCAAATGAAGAATTTTTTGGACTTGAGCTTAAAAAGACAAAGTTGAAGAGAATTGAATTTCCTTCAAAATGAGCTTTGGTTGAGAAAAATAT